GGCTGAGAACTGGACACTGTTGCGTGCCGACATACGTCGCCTTGAACAATTCCACAACCGCTGCGTTCGTGTCATTCTCGGCATCTCGCGTTCCAAACAGTGGGAGGACCACCTGTCATCTGCCTCGCTGCATAGAATGTGCGCTACAGAGCCAGTTGCTGACATGGTTGCCCGTCGACGGCTGCAGTGGCTTGGCCACATTGCCAGGATGGACGACCATCGACTTCCAAAGGCAGTGTTGTTCTCGTGGCTCCATACTCCACGCCCTGCTCATGGCCCCAGGCGTCGATGGCGTGATGTGGTACGCGATGACCTCAAGGCGTTCGGTCTATACACCGGTTGGTACCACCTTGCAGCTGAACGTGGCAAGTGAATCCAGTCCATCTCGGATGCTATTGTTGCACGGCGCTTACGCCTTGAAACGACAGCCAAGTCAGTGTGTTGTGCGATCTGTGAGCGACTCTTCGCCAGTGAAAGCGGACTTCGGCGGCACAAATGCAGGGAAGAGGGACTGAAGCCGATCCATGAACAGGCCGGTGCTGTGTTGTGCGAAACGTGCCATCGTTGGTTTGCTAGCCGAGGTGGATTTGCTGTGCACAGCTGCTCTCCCAGTCTTGGTGACGCTCCAGTTCCAGAGATCGTTGCACCTCGCCCACCTGATTTCAGCCAATATCATTACCACTGCCACACCTGTGACCGCTGTTTCCGGAGCAAAGCTGGGCACCGCCGGCACAACTGCAACTCCAACCGCAGAACATGCAGCTCTGGCTCCGAGCGCCGCACCATCCCATGCCCGACCTGCTCTCGGAAGTTCACACGTCTCCAGTACCTGGCTCAACACAAATGCAAGAAGTAACTCTGCCCTCCTTGCCTCTTTGAGGCACTGCATCACCTTTAGGTGGCGGTTTCAAGGTTCAAGGTGCGTGCGTGCGTGCGTGCGTGCTTGCTTGCGTGCGTGCGTGCGTGCGTGCGTGGGTGGGTGGGAGGGTGGGTGGGTGGGTGGGTGGGTGGGTGGGTGTGCTTTGAAACATGCTCTGCTCGGGATAGCTTCGGGCAATGCCTTTTGAAGTGGCCCGGTTCTCCACAATGGTGGCAAAGCCGCGGTGATGGCGTGGCAATACTGTCTTGCACCCATGTGGCAGCTGCGGACACTGCACCCACTCTGGTGCCGGTTGCTGGTTGCAGTGCCCGGATCCTATCAAGGCATTCAGACACCTTCAGGTCCCTGCCTGCCATGGACAAATGGACATACTTTGCAAACACTCACAGCCCACTCGACATTGGACCAATTACTTGATTTTGCACAAGAAGAACTAAAACTAAAAGAGCAAAAGAAAAGGTATCAAGGCTCGCGACCAAGTGCACATGGACAAAATGGTGACCGGACGTCATTGTGTGAACTCACAATAAAACTAGAAAAATAATACTGGAAAATGGATGAACATCACGAACAGAGCGCGGATAAAAAATAGAAAGCTCAATAATAATTATACGTAGTGATCTATGGTAAATACGTTCGATATCAAGAAAGGAATAGAGAGTGTGAGAGAAAGAAAGAGGGAGAGGGGAGAGAGACAGAGAGAGACAGAGAGAGAGAGAGAGAGAGAGAGAGAGAGAGAGAGAGAGAGAGAGAGAGAGAGAGAGAGAGAGAGAGAGAGAGAGAGAGAGAGAGAGAGAGAGAGAGAGAGAGAGAGAGAGAGAGAGAGAGAGAGAGAGAGAGAGAGAGAGAAAAGAGTAAGAGAGAGAGAGAGAGACAGAGAGAGAAAGAGAGGAAGAAAGAGAGAGAGAGAGAGAGAGAGAGAGAGAGTGACGTACTCACCCTCACAAACAAGTACACCTTGCCCACACAAATACGTCACATACGCACACCTGCAGTAGCATGCATATGCAAAGTAAACGGCATGCTCTCATGCGCGCACACACGTGTGTACGCCTGCGTGTGTGTGCTCAACATTCGTGGACACGCACGAGCGCACACACTCACACACAACATGCGCCATGCCTTGTGGATTGGATTTTGCCTGTATTTCACCTGATGAGCAGGCATGAAAGTATACTACTGAAAATTGCATTCTTGTCTCCAAGGAAATTGTTCATCAATTCCCAAAGAAATCTTCATTGATAATGATCCAGAAATCCCTATGCCATTGCCTTTGTTACCTTTGCCCACTAACTGTGTTTGTTTGTTTGTTTGTGTGTGTCTTTGTGTGTGTTTTTGCGCATGCATAGTTGTGTGTGTGTGTTTGTGTGTGTGTGTGTGTGTGTGTGTGTGTGTGTGTGTGTGTGTGTGTGTGTGTGTGTGTGTGTGTGTGTGTGTGTGTGTGTGTGTGTGTGTGCGTGAGCGTGCGTGTGTGTATTCATGCATATGCGTATTAATTTATGTGTGTGGGAATCAGCATGTGTATGTGTGTGTATTTGTGTATGTTTATGTGTGTTTGTACAGCAAACAAGCCTTGACTGTCCTTGTTGTTCTGTTGTGTGTGTTTTTATGTACTTGGTTTGCATTCATTAACAATGCTACTTCCAGCGTGGTAGCACACCATTACACTATGCAGCATTGGGTGGACATGTTTCCGTAGCAGAATATCTACTTAATTCCGGACATTCATTGGACCCAAAGGATAATGTAAGTCAGGTTAACCCAGGTACATCCTTGTTAGTGTATGAACAGAAAAGAAAGATTGTGCGGGTGTACAAAGTCCTGTGCATGTGTCCCAGGTCTTGTGTTCATCAGTTGTACGCACAATAATACATGCACAACTGGAAAATGTTTTCCAAGAAGAACAACAGTTTTCTCGCAAGCAATAGACGAATGTGACCATGTCAGTGGTTTTCTACTTTGAGCTAACAGCAGCTCTACTTTGAGCTAACAGCAGCTCTACTTTGCGCTAACCACAGTTCTACTTTGAGCTAACGCCAGCTCTGCTCTGGGCTAACAGCAGCTCTGCTCTGAGCTAACAGCAGCTCTACTTTGAGCTTCAAACCAGTTGTTTCAAAACCAGAACTCCTCAATCCAAAGATGCCTCTTTGTTGACTTGTTTATGTGGGGGATGGGGCTAATGGGGTGCTAGCTGTGCTAGTATTTGTTAGCAACAATCCGAACTAGCGCACACAGCGCACTGCATTGCTTTGTACTGCATTCAAGACTGACGTCATGCGCTTTGTTTTGCTGCGTAATCACAAATGGCACCAGCCCGTTTTGCTGAAAAGAAAAACAAATCTTGCTTACCCTGTTGTGCTCTTCCAGACAACGGATCGTGCTTCAGCAGTGTTTCTTTTCCCACCATCCTTCCCTATCCAATTTATTCACACCATCATTATAATTACCGTACCCACTAATCGGGTCAGCTCTCACAACTGGTGGTATGTAGCTATTTACTGCGGCTCCGCCTTGCTCCATCTTACATCCATTTAGCATTGCAGCTCCACATTGAGCTAACAGCAGCTCTACTTTGAGCTAACAGCAGCTCTACTTTGAGCTAACAGCAGGACAAGGACAGCACCTAGTTCTACTTTGCATTCAGGTGTGCCCGTGCGGCTGCACGAAATGCTTATCGTAGGAAACGCAATGAGAATTTCCAAACCCAAAGTGTTAAACATAGTCGCAATCCACGCAAACTGTGGCATGTCATCAACACTGCAACATCTCAAACTCGCCAACGTATTGAGCCGTGTGATGTGGAGGTTGTTGCAACAGCCTTCAGTACAGTTGTGACTGATGCTGATAGACCCCTTGTGCTCACCATGCCACAGGGTCAATCATGTCCCACAGCCTTTTCAACCTTTCGGTATGTCTCAACCAAAACTGTTTAGCGTCTCCTAAGAGGCATCAATGCAGCCAAGGCCATAGGCAGTAGTTTGGAGTTGACAGGAGGGCATGCACATCGAAACCACGCCTTGTCAACGACCCGACCCGTTCTTGCTCAGTTTTAACGACCACACTCCGCAAAGAACAAAACAACAACGAAGCACAACGACACACCAACGCTGATGTGGCATCGCAAATCCCGTACTGTGCACGCAGGCACTGGGTTGCAACAGAAAAAAGACGCGCTGCAAGCGTGCCAAGCAGCGAGTGAGTACAGAACGCGTACTAATGCCAGTCATGGCAACGGGAGATAAATAATTATGCATGGAGCTGGAGATCGGTCCGCGCATGGTTCGATCGAGAGCAGAGTACGAAAAAAGCACACATTCAAAGTTAGTTCAAACTGTGCAACAGAAGCAGAAGAGGAAAACGAAAATGAACACTTGTGTCGTGAAGTGCTTCTGTCCAAGGGTGCTCGCACCTGACGGGGTGACAGCGCCCCTAGTCAGACAATACAAGGCAAACGAAATAGAAATTAGCTGAGTCACAGCGCGGGACTCCGAAACGAAAACCGGTGAGTATGTAAATACTAATTGTTCGTACCTGCGTAACAATTGCTCAAATTCATAACGTAATTTCAAACTAGCACTCGTAGAATTGTAGTGCGAATGTGCCACTCGATTATAGTAACAACGACAAAGAGATACTCTTCTAAACATTTCTCTCCCTTCTCACTGTGCCGAAATTCACAGTGACCAAAAAATTCGAAAATTGATTATTGTTCTGAAATAGGCAAACAAGGAGCTACTCACAGAACAGCTTACAAAGACGCACGATTGGGAGGGTGTAGGTCTTGTCGCCCACCTTGACCTTCACAACTCGCACGTGTCCGTCTGGACCAGGGTGCACTTCGGTGACGCGACCCATTGGCCAAGTGCCCCGTGGGTTGTCTTGGGATGTCACTAGAACGATGTCGTCGACCTTGAGGTCTGTCTCGGCCGTCCTCCTCTTGAGTCGCCGGTTCAGCTCTGGCACGACTTCCTGCATCCATCTCCGCCAAAAGTGCAGCACGAGTTCTTGCACTACACGCCAGCGTTGCCGAGGGTTGAACTCGCTCTCGTCCACTCCTGCAGGTGCGAACCGAGTACCGATTTGGCCATACATGAAATGATTGGGCGTTAGCGGAGTTGGGTCACGACCATCTGCCGACACGTAGGACAGTTGCCGTGAGTTCATGAGCGCCTCCGCGCCGACGATAGCAGACAATAGCTCCTCGTCTGTGACCTCCGCGTTCTTCAGAATCGCCGAGATAGCACGCTTTGCCGATTTCACTAACGCCCCATGCCACTCCGCCGAAATGTGGTGCTGCTGGAGGGTTGAAACGCCAGCTAGTCTGCTGATCCACTGTCTGCCGCTGAATCGCCTCTGCATCAAGCTGCTTGACTAGCTGAGCAAGCTCATTGGTGGCGCCGACGAAATTCGTGCCATTGTCGGAGATGACGTCGATCGGTACTCCCCGTCGATTGGTGAAGCGTACGTACGCCTGCAGGAACGAGTCCGTTGTCAACGCGTATGACAGCTCGAGATGCACTGCTCTCGTCTGCAAGCAGGTGAACAAGCACAGGTACCGCTTGTGTTGTGTCTTGCCGTGACCCTGCTTCGTCATAAACGGTCCAGCGTAGTCTACGGAGACTCGGCCGAATGCGCGTAGCGGCAGGCTGACTCGGACCTTAGGTAGAGGCGCCATCACCTGCATTGCCGGCTTCGTACGGTTCCGGGCGCACCTCGCACACTTGGCTTTCCAAGCTCGCACCTCTTCGCGGCCAGCGACGATCCAGTAGCGCGACGAGAGTTCGGCTAGCGTACGGCTGACACCGAACGCGTGATATCCTCGTTCGTGACATGCCTTGACAATCAGCTGTGTCACATGATCCCCTCTTGGTAGGACGATCGGATTGCGTTGTTCTGCAGTCAAGAAGTCTGCATGCTGTAGTCGACCTCCGACGCGTAGAAGGCCAGCGTTGTCAATCATTGGCTTGAGCGAGACCAGCTTGCTGGTTGCAGGGATCGGCTTGCCTGCCTTAACTGCAGCATACTCTGGTAGCGACTGTTGCTGCGCTCGCTTGATGAAGAACTCCTCAGAGTCTCGGATCGCTGGTGGCGATAATTCGTCAAACTCTCGTTGTGCGGGTGGTACTGAGCAATTCGTAGCGAATTGCACACACCAAGCATGAACACGGCACATTCGTACCCAGTCGGAGTAGCGGCTTGGCTCTAGACGATTCAGCTCGCTGTGGCATTGGTCGACGGTCACCGCAGTCAGCTCGATGGACTCGTCCGTCGGTTGATTGTCTTTCTTCAACTCCAGAGTTGACGGACAGGGCTTCAATTCTGGCTGAACAGGCCATTCACTTTCAGCGGCACCCAAGAAGCCGGGACCGTTCCACCATAAACTGCTTCCCGCCAACTCTTGCACTGACATTCCTCGAGAGACCAGGTCGGCTGGATTGAGCGCGGTGGGCACGTACCGCCACTGGGTAGGATTGGTTTGCCGTTGAATCTCGCCCACTCGACTAGCCACAAACTGCTTGAAGGTGCGGCTGTAGTTGGTGATCCAGTGCAGAACATTGCTGCTGTCCGACCATAGCGTCGTTGCTCGGGGTCGAGGTTCAGTGACTCGGCGGATGATGTGGCGATCGTTGCTCCGGTTGTCGCCGCCATTAGCTCAAGCCGCGGAACGCTGACAGCAGTCACTGGTGCCACACAGACCTTGCTTGCGACGAACCGTGCTGTCGATTCTCCAGTGTCATAGTGACTGACCAGATACGCGACTGCTCCGTATGCGACCTCGGACGCATCTGAGAACACGTGAAGCTGGCTGCTGATTGCTGTGCGTCCCGTGGCCGTCAGGCAGCGTGGTACACGTACTGTTGATAGCTCCGTCACCTGTTCAAGCCAGCCGAGAACCTTCTTGACGATTGCTGGGGGCAGTTGCTCATCCCATGCTGCTCCACAAAGCCACATCTCTTGCAGCAGGACCTTTGCTTGCACGAGGTACGGTGCGAGGAGTCCAAGTGGATCAAACAAACTTGCTGGTGCACTGAGAAATGCGCGCTTCGTAGGATTTGAGCCGATCTCCGACAGCTGCAGCTGGAACGTGAACTGGTCCTCCTTGGCAAGCCAGAGGACTCCCAGTATCTTGACATTCGGCAGCTCTCCCTTCGTGAGGTTGATCTCCTCAGCGCGATCCTCCTCCGGGATGGTCTGCAACACCGCCGTGGAGGTGCGCAGCCATTTTCGCGGGTGCATACTGGCTTTGTGCCACAACGCCGACAGCTGCCTTACGAGCTCAACGCCTTCCTCATCGCTTCGAACAGAGTCCATGGAGTCATCCATGTACGTTGACTCAAGGACCGTTTCCGCTGCATGAGGATAGTTGTCGGCGTGCTGATGAGCATTGTGTCTAGCCGCGTACTGCGCTAGGAAAGGCGACGCGTTCACACCGAAGACCACTCGATTGAACTCGTATTTGGCCGGTTCCTGCTCGTTATTCCGCCAAAGAAAGCGATGGAAGGGCCTGTCCTCCGGAGCCAGGGATATCTGGAGATACATCTCCTGGATGTCGCAGATGATGGCGACCTTGTTCTGCCGGAAGCGCAGGAGTACCTTCGGTAGCGATTGCTGCAGCTTGGGACCAGCACTGATAACATCGTTCAGCGCTACACCATTGCTGATGCCAGCTGCGTCGAAAACCACACGTGTCTTCGTGGTGGCCTTATCTTCACGGATGATGGCGAAGTGTGGAAGGTACCATTCGTTTACAGAACCTCCACACTCGTTGTCAGGCACTCATCGAATGTACCCGTTGGCTAGGTACTTGCGGATGACATCGCTGTACGCTGTTGCTGCTGCTGAGTCACGTCGCAGCCGCTTCTCCAAGCTGTGCAGACGGCCGAGTGCCTTCGCTCGGCTTTCAGGCATGACTGGACGTTCGGATTTCCAGGGTATGCCAACGCAGTAGCGGCCGTCCGTCACCTTCAACGACGCTGCAACTTTCTGCTCTGCCACCTTGTCGTCGCGTGACATGAATTTCGTAGTGCTGCTGTTCACTTCTTCGATTTCCCACAGGCGCTTCAAGCTGCTCTGTAGGTCACCGTCGCTGAACATTGTGAAGCAGCAGCTCGCCGCTGGGTGTGCTGGTTGTACTTGGCCGATGTAGGTCCAACCTAATGCCGTCCGACGCGCCACGGGCTCATGGCTGTTACCCGAGCGCTCTTCATACGCCATGTGAAGCTCCGGATAGTCGGCACCGATAAGCACGTCAATGTGGCGTTTCGACGGTAGCGGCGGAAACTCAACGTTGGCTAGATGTGCGTACTGCTTTCCCAGGTGGTGCCAGTCTACAACTTCCATGTTGCCTGTTGGCTGCTCGATTGTGCCCGCATGGAGAGTCGTCGACGTGGCTCCGTCAACACTTCGCAGAGTGCATGATACTGGGACAGTGTGAATGGTCTCTTGCTGTCCATTCAGCTTGCTGATGGTCAGCGACATACTTGATCCAATCAGGCCGAGTTCTGCCGTAACATTGCTCGCTATGTACGAGCGCGTGCTGGCGTCGTCCAGCAGCGCGTTAACAGTTAGCGACCGCTTGCCGTTGGATAGCTGAAAGGGAACTGTCCGAATCGACGTCACCGTCCGTACTCTATTCTCCTCTCCCTTCGTGCTGTTTCCGAGGGAGACAGCACTGAAGTTCTCCGGCTGCATGGCTCCAGTCTCTCCGGAGGCGTGGGTTAACGACGATGGAGGCGGTTGACGGGGCTCACTGTGCAGCAGGCGATGGTGATGCTGCGTGCACCCGTCGATACCGCACTCCCGGTCCCGTGGACAATCCTTGCCCCTATGTCCAGTCGCAAGGCATCTATAGCATGACTTGCTTCGCTTCGCTGCTGCCCAGCGCTGGCTTACAGTTTGTTTCTCAAACTCTGGGCAACGCCAGATCGGGTGCCCGCCACCATTGCAGCATTTGGACCTTGCGGTCGGCACATTGCCAGCGGTGTTTGTAGCTGTCACGAACGTGGCCGTGCGCGGTTGCACAGCGTCGTGAGCAGTTGCCGTCCGAGTCGGCTGATTTCGACTTGTCCCGCTGGTTGACAATTGGCTTCTTACGTGATGCTGCTGGCTGATGCCTTCGATAGTTTCCGTGGTGGCAGCAAGAACTTCTGGCTCGGCATTCAGCCACTCCAGCAGCACCTCGACCGATTCGTCCTTTTGGTGGTGTACTATCCAGTGGCGATACCGGGCCAACAAGTTCACTGGCAGCTTCTGCTGGATCCGCTGGTAGAGAATGCCGGTACCTAGGTCGGTGTGCATACCGGAATCCTTTAACGTCACCACTGCCATGTCGAGCACATCGGTAAAGCGCTCCAGGTCCTGGTCTCTACCGGCTCGAATAGGTGGAGATCGTTCCAGCTCTTCCGTCCTAACCACAAGGCGCCGGCGACTCCCACCGAAGCGTCGCTCCAGCCGCCGCAGAGCAGCATCGTATGCTGCTGCCGAGTAGCCAAGACTCTCGATGGCATCCAGTGCCTCACCCGCCACGTACTGTCGGAGCTGCAGCAGCTTGAATTCAGCGGAGAGCGGCTGCTGGTCCACACAAACGCTGAAAGCGGATTTCCAGCGCTCGTATTTTCGCTTCTCTCCGATGAACACGGCAATTTCGATCCGCTTCAACTTGCTGGCGATGTTGATCTGTGCAGCTGCCGCTGGAGCAGTCCGTGGCGCAGGTCGAGCTGCGGTGCCTCCGACATATGTCGGAACTGGGGCGAATACTGCGGCCCGGGGTGCTTGCATGCCAGCGCTGGGTCTCGCACCGTACTGTGACGCTCCAGTAGAGATGGTGTGCGACGGTCCAGTAGACACAGGTGAGTTGTACATGACTGCACTATTGCTCGCACTCCACTGCGGTTGCTGTTGTTGTTGTTGGTACATGTATGCCTGCTGCGGCCTAGCACTATTGTTGCCATACGTTGCATACATCATACTAGGTGTTTGATCAGCAGGATCGTGGATCAGGAAGCCTTGTTCCTGAATTATAGCAGGAGCGTTGCTGCCCGTGGTCATAGTTGCAAATGACGCTGGCAGCACTGAACTACGTGGCTGGTACTCTGCGGCTGCTGCAGATAAAGCGGTGCATGCATTGCTGTTGATCATATCCGTTTGCGGTGGCGCGTGTGCTGACGCGGTTGCCATGGCAACGGTCGGGAAGGGTTCGGCAGGTTCCCCCACACGCTGACCACTGAACATTACAACACGACTGTCCGGCTCTACTTTCACCCGTTCTCCATAGTCTGCAGCCCTGGGCAACATAACCCGCGCATCGTGCTGGCGACCAAGAAACGGTGCATTTTGGAGCGCCGCACGCAGATCTAGAATTTCTCTGCTTTCCTCTCGTACTGACGCCAGTAAAGGCGTTGCCCCTCTCAGTGGCGATTGCTTGGGACTGGGAGTCTGCCTGGTCGACGCTGCCAGGCTCGCTCTGCTGCTCCTGATGAGCACACTCCTGGCCAATTCCATGGCATCGGAATACTGGCCTTCCAGCTGCTTGTACTGCTTCTGGAGACCAGCATGTCTCCTAGAGTCAGTGACCACCACCGCTTCCATGTACTCCATGATGACCTTCTTGGTCTCGTCATACACTGTCGTCAAGTGGCTTCTCCATGCCTTTACGTCATCTCGGTTCGGCACCTCATTCGTTGACTCCACTGTCAAATTTCTCCTCGTATTTGTGAAATCCGTTTTCAGCTCTCGCTTTTTCCGTGCGAGGTCTTCTAGTTTTACCTCCATGATGGCTCCGTGAAAACTGTCGTCGGGGGGTTTTAACCCCTCGCACGATAGCCCTTCCGATTACTCTTATACATCCATCACACGTACGCCACACTCAGAGGACAGATAATCATTGTTGTTCCAAGGAGAGTCTCAGGAAGAAGGCACCGAAAACAACCAGAATGCGCACGATCAGCATGCAAGCATGCGCACAACAACAAGAACATGTACGATAATCTCCAACCGGCGCAGTCCGCGCGCGGTCCGCACCAACGTGCCAAAAGGGGCACACACGTGCCAAAAGGGCAGGGACAACATACTTCCACATGAAAAAAAATGCATCCTCTCCTGAGGATGGGAGAGAAGAAAACAAAACGAGAAGACAGACAGGAGAAAAAGAAATCAAATGTGAACAACATACACATGCAGATACGCAGGGCCAAAACAGTAGGATACATTAGTAACTCCGGACAACGGGGGAAAAGCCAAAGCAAAGGGGTGGAAAGAAAACAGACTGGGCCCACCCATAGAGGGAACCGCCATCTTTCAGGCGTGGGCCCCCGGAAAACAACCACCTCGCCCTGGTGCGAAGCCAAGGCAAACCGACGGTACGGCGAAGACCGCGGCAGCTGAACCGGGTGACCAGTCATCTGACAGCACAGGAGTTGTCCGGAAAACCATCACGCAGCCGATGGGGCTACGAAAACTCACAGATACACACACAGAAAGAAAGAAACAAGGACTGACGCAAACATCTCAGCAATACTAGGAGCCAAAATTCAGACAAGAAAAACCACAAGAAGGAATGGCAGAACAGCAACGTTGAACACGCCTACGGATACAGGGGCAGTCTATCCATGAGGACACCAGATAGCACACAAACAAATCGGTCACCAATACGCAAACAAAAATTAACATAGAAAAACCACAGGGCGCTACCCTGAATAACCACAGGCCTCTAACCTGAAAAAACCCACAGGGATTGAACCTGAATATCACGCGTGAAACACAACCGCTCACGAAACACAAAAAAACACCGTCCTGAACCCTACTGGGACGCACAAAGGCCAGCCAGCAAAACACGGAAACCGAACACCCGCAAGGCGAACCGATACAAATAAGCGCTGGATCCCACCAGCCCACCAGGCAGACCGTGGCTCACCATGATCGGACGCCCCCCTAGGTGAAATGAAGAGACCCACGTGCCAAAACACAAATACCAAACAACACACTCACAGAAATATTGCCACCCGGACCGTCAACGAGAATCTCAGAAGCATGTTACACCACTGGGCGTCAGCCATTCCACATGAGCGGGACAACCAGGCGGAGCACTAAAACGCTCGACACAAAACATGATTACTAGTAAAACGAAAAAGAAAGCACTTGTACTTGAAACTGGAAACGACGGAGTGCCGCCACATCGAGTAAATCGATGGGGACATCTACCAAACTGAAACAAATCGGACGACACAGGATCGGAGCAGTCCGACGACACCGAAACGACGTGCACCAGTGCACAACACAGGGCGAGTAAGCAAACACGAGCAAAGCTACCCATGCTGACTACCATGATGACGTACCAAGCAACACGATGAGCATGCACGACAGCACGGACAACAAACAGTTTCAAGTCAGAAGGTGTGAAACACAGTGCACACGACCACTCGAACAGCCAGAGGCCGGAGGGCGACAATGTACACTGGTTCAAAACACCGCACACACAACGTGGGCCACAATCATGTACTAACAAGAGCGAGGCTCGAACGAGGTAGACCTACTCGTACACAAGAGAACAACCCGGGACTTCAATGCCACGAAGCGAAACAATTATTTGAAAATCCCAAATCGAAGACTAGTACCAGGAGAACTACGTACAAGGTACAAAACATTACGCAGGGCAGACAAAGCAGGCTCACCTGAGTAGGAGCTCCGAGGACAGGGTTGAGAAGATGAAGCAAAGCGGAGCCATGGCGAGGACGCGTGGAGAAGAAAAGATTTGAAGCCACGGCGAAAACGAAAACGATCTCAGGGTCGTGGGAAACGATGCCATTAGCTGGGCGCCAATTGTCGTCGGGGGGTTTTTGTTCCCTCGCACGATAGCCCTTCCGATTACTCTTATACATCCATCACACGTACGCCACACTCAGAGGACAGATAATCATTGTTGTTCCAAGGAGAGTCTCAGGAAGAAGGCACCGAAAACAACCAGAATGCGCACGATCAGCATGCAAGCATGCGCACAACAACAAGAACATGTACGATAATCTCCAACCGGCGCAGTCCGCGCGCGGTCCGCACCAACGTGCCAAAAGGGGCACACACGTGCCAAAAGGGCAGGGACAACAAAACCATCCTCTGCTACCAATAGTTTGGAGTTGACAGGAGGGCATGCACATCGAAACCACGCCTTGTCAACGACCCGACCCGTTCTTGCTCAGTTTTAACGACCACACTCCGCAAAGAACAAAACAACAACGAAGCACAATGACACACCAACGCTGATGTGGCATCGCAAATCCCGTACCGTGCACGCAGGCACTGGGTTGAAACAGAAAAAAGACGCGCTGCAAGCGTGCCAAGCAGCGAGTGAGTACAGAACGCGTACTAATGCCAGTCATGGCAATGGGAGATAAATAATTATGCATGGAGCCGGAGATCGGTCCGCGCATGGTTCGATCGAGAGCAGAGTACGAAAAAAGCACACATTCAAAGTTAGTTCAAACTGTGCAACAGAAGCAGAAGAGGAAAACGAAAATGAACACTTGTGTCGTGAAGTGCTTCTGTCCAAGGGTGCTCGCACCTGACGGGGTGACAGCGCCCCTAGTCAGACAATACAAGGCAAACGAAATAGAAATTAGCTGAGTCACAGCGCGGGACTCCGAGACGAAAACCGGTGAGTATGTAAATATTAATTGTTCGTACCTGCTGTACAACGTAACAATTGCTCAAATTCATAACGTAATTTCAAACTTGCACTGTAGAATTGTAGTGCGAATGTGCCACTCGATTATAGTAACAACGGCAAAGAGATACTCTTTTAAACAGGCAGTGACAGCATCACAGGAGTGCTTCTGAAGTGCTGTGCTGATATCATTGCTCCGTTCGTTGCTGCTCTCTTCAATGCCTCACTATCCCGTGGTACAGTACCCTCTGCCTTCAAGCTTGCACGCATATCACCACTATATAAAGCTGGTGACCCAGCAGTTCCTACTCACTTCCGTTTCATTTCCCTTCTCCCAATCCTGTATTAGAGAAGCTGGTGCAGAAGGAACTGGTATCATTCATGAACATCACAGAGTCACTACACTCCACTCAGTTTGCAGTTCGCAGCAACCATTCCACTGAGGATGCACTAGCTCTCATCACCAACCGTATCCTTACTGTCCGGGACAAACAAATGTACCCAGGTGTGTGCTTACTGGACATGTCCAAGGCATTATTTTGATAAAGTTAGACATCACCAACTAATTCTCTACCTTTTTTTTGCCGTCACAGCCACAGCCCTGCGGTGGTTCATGTCTTATCTCTCCGAACGGACCCAGCGTGTCTGTGTCGGACCATCACGCAGCACTATCACTCGCTGCACGTGCGGAGCGCCACAGGGATTTATGCTCGGCCCCCATTCTGTTCAACCTATTTACTCGAGAAATACCCGATGTTGCTGGACAAGCCTTGTCTTTGCAGTTTTCAGATGACATTGGTCTCACCTGTAGCAAATCAACTACCGTAAGTCTGAAGGGTCTGCAATTCTGTCTGCGTCAGCTTCAGCTATTGCTAACTGGCTAAACGATCGCGGCTTGGTCCTGAATGCTTCCAAAGCCAGGTGACATCTATTTCTGTGAACCTACCTGAGAAGCATACTCCACTCTCGGTTAACTGTAACGGGACCCTGCTGCCACTTGTGGAGTCTGCCAGGTACCTTGGCGTGACATTTGATAGTAACGTGTCTTGGAATGGCGACGTAACTCGCTGTGCAAACCGTGTATCTCAAAAATATGAGTCCTGTGGAGGATGCGGCTTTGATCCAACCGACAACAAGCTCACACAACTCAGTTTGGGATATTTACAGGATACAGGAACAATATGATACAGGTGAAACAAGAGAGAAAGAACGCTATCCGTCCATCACGGAAGGAACAACAACAAACCAGAAAAGGAAAATATCGAAGAAACAAGTAGCGCAAGCGAAAGCCAAAGTGCTCTCCTCAGCAGAACGTGCACATACACGTGCGCCTACAAAGCACCCACAGTAGCGCAAACGACGTCAACGTACTACACTAATCTACACTCATTTACATGCATCAAATAAGGAATCCAAAAGCAACCGAAAAAGTAACCAGCTCTGCAGAAGGATCCGCGACTGAGTACAGTCCGCGTAGCCTTGGGACCTCATGACGTCAACCAAACAAAAGACACAGAAAAGACGTGTCAGATAAACAATAAATAAACCAAACGCAGATTCACACAGCAAACTAGTAAGCTAACGATAAACTAGTAACACTGAGACAATTCGACTGTCACAAACTGTACAACAAAATCACTTTGTCCACCGCTCGTTGCGTGACAGCGGCGTTGCCTCAGCCTACAGGGTCGGATCACTTACTCCATCATAATTCCAGATCTTCTGTAGGGATCAAATGCACACTCGACATCTCTGGCAGTCAGGCACTGTCATCGACTCCAGCTTCTGGAAACCCGTGGTACCCGTGCAGTGTTTGAAGTATACAAGCAGAAGGTTGCATCCTTGTATGGTAGTGCCGCTACGGCCAAGCAAGTCCTGAGCTTCAGGATCTCTTGCTGCCAGCTTGTGGCCGGTCCACGCGCCTGGACTCTGGCATGGGTCTCTGCCTGCCACCCGCCCGCAGGAACTCCGGAAAGGGGACATTTGCCTTCCAGGGTGCACTATGCTGGAACAACCTGCCTAGCAGAATTCGCTCCATCTCCGTTCCTCGTCAGTTCCGTGCTGAGTCCCGTTTCAACTATGAACTGAGAACATTGCAAAGCAATTGTATGTATGG